CACCACCCACCCACCCAATCAACCATAAAGGGAAAATGTGAGCCACGGTAGGAATAAGGATGAGGAACAAACGGCGAAGCTTTATGTATGGGTATGGCATTCATTCATTCTCGTGGGAGCTCTGCTTTGTTCCAAAGTGGAAGAAGGAAAGAAGGAGAGGAGGGAGGAAGGAAGGAAGGAAGCAAGTAAATAAGTAAGGAAGGGGGTGGTTGGAGGGCTTCTCTTCTCCGCATTATCGGTATGCCATGGTGCGGCTTTCCCCAGCTGGCATGAGGATGAACGGATGGATGGAGGTTCGTTTTGGAATTGTTAGCCTTTCGGTTTGGGTTGGCTTGCTTTTTTCGGTATAGTGCCCGGACGGTTGCTGTAGGGGTCGGGGGGATCGGGGATTGTGGAGTGGGCTGGGGTGGGAGGTTATGATATGTTCTGTACGAGTATATACGGCAGTGGGTACTGTGGGTAGGTAGGCAGGGAGGTCGGTCGGTCGGTCGGTGAGTGGGTTTTGGAGAGTTTTCTTTTTCCCCTTCCTTCGTTCCATTGTTTCTTGGTTGTTTTATATTTCCATTGGTTTGTATGATGTGGAGTGGGGGACGCCTGGTTTGGCCTGGCCTAGTTTATTGCGTGTGATACCGGTATATAACCAAGGGGGGGTATCATAACAGATGATGGACGGATCGCTTACAATGACAATATCATCGTCATAATCCCATTATTAACCACCAGTACGATTTCCAACTCGAGTTAGGTCAAGTTAAGCGGGAAAGGAAGAAAGAAAGAAAAAAAAAAATGTAAGGGTTTAAAACTAAGGTTTAAAGTTGAAGGAGACTTTTCCTACTCTTTGAATCGTACTACCGTGCTCGTGCGCGCTCCATAACTAGGAAAGTGACTTTTTCATCAGATCAGATTTCCTCCCCCTCATTTCGAACTTTCCGACCGATCTTCTACAGTAACCACCACCTCTTGATTCGAAAAGAAAGGAAAAGGAGAAAAAGAAATAAAAAAATAAAAAAAAATAAAAAAGGAGGAGTTCGGGCATCCTTGCGCGGTATCTGCTACCATACCGTCGAATCGATAAACCTCACCTTTCATTTATCTATCTCGTACCTTTTTTCTCGGCCTCTCGGACAATTCATTCACCCTCCTCGACCACAACGGGTGGTTAGGCTGGGAGAAGGGGTTGGTTGACATGTCAATCGGTTAGGCCGATTGTTACTGGTATCAAGTTACTTTTTTGTATTCACTCCCTCACTGCCCCCCCCCCCCTCATGGGAGAGAGAGAGAGAGAGGGGAGGAAGTATGAGTGGTGGATGTATAGCGGTTTCGGTGGTTACTGTGCATCGACTACATCGATCATAAATTCAATACGGCAATGGTTGCTTATTTACCATCCGGGTTGCCCTAAACATGTGTACCGGGAACCCCATCTTGCCAAACTACTTGTATCTCTCTTTCTCTCTCTTTATATAACACCTTTGAGGAATCCGACATGATACTCGACCCAAACCACTCCACATTTCCGCTGCGACAGCTGGTCACAATGGTCTTTCCCGAACGTACCGTCATGGTCCATGTCTGGGGGTGGAGTGGAGCGGAGTGGACGAGGAAAGTGGATAAGGTGGAAAGGGATGATGAAGAGAGAGAGAGAAAAATAAAATAATTAGGGAAAAAATAAAAAATAAATCAAGGCATGAAGGGGGTGGTGGTGGTGGTGGTGGTGGTGGTGCAGAGTACGTGGACGACGTTAGCATTTGCTGGTGGTTCATGACGGCGATGGGGGGAGTTGAAGGGAATGTCTTTTGAGGGAGGGGGGTTTACCTCCATTATTTCATTGTGATTTGCCCTATCTACCGTCCTCAAGCACGTACTGTATACTGTACGGTCATAGCTAGCTATGATAGCTGTCTCTCCAGGCTCCAGTGTGTTTATACTCTTACAGGTTTTTGTCTACACCGCACGATACGGCTTCCATTTTATTTTATTTTTATTTTTGCTTTTTCCCACTTCTTTTCTTTTCCCATTCTCGACGTACAGTACAACCTACATGAATTAATTGATTCACAATCAATTAGAGATTTCCAAGAATACCTACCTACAATCCGAACACACCTCCCCCTCCCCCTCCCCCTTCCCCCCCTCCTCCACTCTAGCCCATCATCATCATCATCACCATCTTCATCATCATCCTCAACGCTCAACGAATACTCGAGCAGGTACGAGTACATGGGATCCAGGGGGGTGGTGGTGGTGGTGTGAAAGGGTGAAAATGATGAAAGAGGTTTAGTGTGTCGGATATGTAGGCTGTTGAATGTTCAATGTGGGTAAGCTAGTGAGGTGAGCGAGTGCGTGCTCGCTTGTCGAGGGTGTATGGGTGTATGGGATGTATGGGTGTACAAGGTATCGGTGTGTAGTATCAAACAGTTCGCCAAAACACCAGAACCGACACAGGGGGACAGGACAGGGACGGAAGCAAACATCAGACGCTATGCACGCACCTCTTGTTCAATTGGAAACCTAGCTGCGCAAAACAGACACTGATTCTCACATCTCTCCTACAGTTGACTAAACTGGTACTTGCTGACTTACCCTCTTTGTGAAGGGCCGGACCCTTTCCTCACCGAATTGGATGGAGATGGGCAAGACAAATCCTACTTTTTTCTTTTCTTTTTCTTTTTCTTTTCATTATTCTTTTCATTAAATTTCCATTCTTCTCTCTCTCCCTCTATCCCCTCCAAGCTTCTCGCTATTCGTAGGTTTGGCTTTCAGTCCATGTTTTTTAAAGTTTGGTTTGGTTGGGAATGCGCGTATCGTGCGTGGTTGGGAACTTGGGTTTTAGGATTTGGAAGGGCAAACGGAGATCCGATTAGGGGAGGCCAAGACAAAAAAGGCGAGTGCTTGATTGACACTTTCCATGTCTCCGCTACTGCAGTGCTATGTTATGCTGTACCGCTACCGCTACTTTGATCTATATAGCCTTGAACCTTTTGTTTTTTTTAAAATTTCAACCTTGGTGGTTGCTGGATGTTGATGGTAAATAGTGCTCCTGCTTCTACTTCTGCTTCTTCTTCGATGCAGGTGTTGGTGGTGGTGGTGGTGCTTGCTGCTTGTGCTCCTGATGCTTGTGCTGATGTTGTTGCTTCTGGTGCTTGCTTCTGCTTCTGCCTCTGCTTCTTGCTTCTCGATACCCCATTCTGCTAACGCCTCTCTGGGAGTTCCGTCTGCACACCAAAAAACTAGCATCGCATGCATACAAAATGGGATAATCAAAATCATAGAGATACAGACAAGCACAGATCAGACATTGACGAACCCCCCCTTCCCCCCCAGACTGTTCTTTCCCTTCTCCCCCTTCTCTCCCCTCCCCTTAGAAAAGAAAAGGAAGAAAAGAAAAAAAGAGAGAGAGAGAGAGAACCCCCCTCCAGCCCAGGAAACCCCCCACCCCTCCAACCAACTGCACCCGCGTACAGGACGCTCGCAGCGGGCAAAAAAAAAATAATACCAAGCATCAGGACTTGCCTTAGTTCTCAAGCACGGACAACGCAAAGGAATCAAAAATGGCATGGGATGCCAGCCTGACGGTGAAGCCCTTTGGATTCATACGGTATTTCTTTACGTAGAATCCCTTTATTCTTTTCCTTACCACCACCCTGCTCACCACACAACCTACTTTGTTCCCCATCTTCCTTCTTGCCCTTCGCCGTTTTTTTAATTGATCCTTCCCGGCGCTTCATTCGCTTTAAGCTCTCCCCCCTACCTCTCTCAGGTAAAAGCGTCTCTTCTTCCTTTTTATTATAATTTTATTTTATTTTATATTATTTTAACCTTCTACCATCCTCCCCCCCCCCCCCCCTTCCACATCCTTCGCCTACCTGCGCCTCAGTTTCGACTTGGGAAAAGCAAACCTACCCTTCCTTATACCCCCCCCCCCTTCTATTAGTACCCTAAATATCAATACTTCACCTACATATCCCACACCCCCCCCCCCTTCAATATTGAACCCCAGATTCTTTTTACTTCTTCTACTGCCTACCACTACTACCGCTGCTACTATTACCTACTACTACTACTACTACTATCTTACCTTACTTTGCTACTACCTATAACTACTTCAACATCTGGGCCTTTGTACAATTTACACATCTGTGCAACGGACGTCCACCATTTGCAGGAGGGATAACAAAAAGTCTTTTTACACTTTAAACAATACTTAACACATTAAAATAATTACCAACCCTCGAAGATGAGCTCTTCTCCTGTGACATCTGTCGTTGCCAAAGTGAGATTTTATCCCCCTTCTTCCCCTTTTTCTTTTCATTTTTTTTCTCTCTCCCTTTAAATTTCCCACCTCCTTACTTTATTCGACGTTGGTGGTTGCGTGGAGTTGCTTGTGGTGATGACGACGACGACGACGGTGGTGGTGGTGGTTGTGGATGGGAAAGCAAACATTGATGCTAGATGGCTAAGATGAGATGAGTTGTCGCTAACTTGGCCGTTGTTATAGGGGCGTAAGGGGTCTGCTGCTGGTGGTGGAAAAGCTTGGACAGAAGAAGAGGTTAGCTTTGAGAAATCCATTTTCCAATACTCTTTTGCGCCGACACTCTCACCACCATCACCACCATCAACCCACCATACCTAGCAATTAAACATGTGAGGTTGTGGTTGAAGGTATGTGCGTGGTTGTGGTAGTTCGTTGGTGGTTGTGGTTGTGGTGGTGGTGGGGTGTGCGGTCCTTTTTTCCCTTTCTTTTCTTTTCCTTCCTTTCTATTGGGGCGCCTGAAGAGAAGGGGGGTTGGATAGTTGGGATGGGTTATTATAAGGGCTATTGATATTGGGATTGGCGAGAACTTGGGACGGAGGGGGGGAAAAAATAAGGCGCGATGGATTGAGGAGGAGGAGGAAAGGGGAATGGGGAACAAACAAAACACCATGAAATTTTAAAGGAAAATATAGCTAACCAAAGCTATGAATTTCTTTGAAATTATCAGGAAGTTTATCTCTTGCAAATGCGTCTCGAAAGGGTAGCATACAAAAAAATTGCGGGCCACCTCGACAAAACAGAGCTTGCCTGCCGGCTTCACTACCACCAGCTATCACACGGTAATAACCGCCGCAAACGCAACAACTCGATATCATCAACCTCATCAAACGCTTCAGTAACTAGTCCCGCAGCCTCCCCCAGCAGCAGCTCGACACCACTGGCCAAGACCCGCTCGTCAAGTCCGACAATATCCTCCTTCTCACCCGTCAATGCCTCGGGTGCTATCCAGAAGGTGGGAACCACGGCGCAACCAAAGATAAAGGGCAAGCCATTACTGCCAAAGCCCCACGGCTCGACGGGACCGACCTCGTCCACCTCTCCGGGGAAGAACCCAGGGAGCAACAAAGCGAAGCAGCTGCGGGTGGATTGCAGCCCAGACGCAATTGACAAGGACAAGCTCATTCGTATCGTGGAGAAGCAGAGGGCCATGTTCTGGGAATCGGTGGCGACCCAATACGGCGGATCCGTGGATGCAGACTTCCTGCAAAAGTGTTGGCAGAAGGGCTTCACTTCCACTAGCTCTGCGACCACACCTACTTCGGCCATCACAGCTCCTAGCTCTGCCATCAGTGCCCTGACGACGACAACAACAACGACGCCAACAACAAACACAACCCCCAGCTCAGCTGTCACCGTCACACCCCTCACGCCTGCCATCTCACCCTCTACCAAGGAGGCCGAAGATGGAGCGCCCGGTGAGGACGGCGCGGCCAGCAGCATTACTACCGTCAGCGAGGTATCTACTCCCGATTTGAGTCCCACGGCTTCAGTCAACGGGGATTCGTCCACCAAGGATGACATGATGGAGGAAGTCGAAGAAACCAGGAAACTCGAGCCCTCGTTGACGGCAGCAGCGAGATCGGTCGACTGTGTTATGAGAGACTAGATTATCTAGATCGCCTAGAAAACCCTAGAGACTAGAAGCACGCTCGCACAACAAACTTAATATCCCTTCCTTCCACTTCCTTCTGTCTATCTCGTGTTTTTGCCAGCATTGCACACAAAAAAGGGAACCTGAGCATTTGTTTATTTTATTTTATTTTTCATTTTATTTTATTTATTTTATTTATTTCCTTCCTTCCTCTTCCACATTATCCATTTCCTCACGTCACACAAAAAAGGCGTCCATCATCATCTTCATAATTGGGGGGCAAGGTCAGGAACTTGGGGGTTTGGGCGGTGTTATATCATGATCTTTACGCAGCCTGGTGCAAAGTTTGATCGGTAATGTTGTTCATTGTTTCATGTCTACGCTTTCCATCTCATCTATTTCTCATCTCCAGTTTTCCCTTACTCTTATCATTCCACCTTTCTTAAATCACTCTTCTAGTTTTTCTTCTTTATATATAACGACGAAACGAAAAAATACCTTTTCATCCTGCTTGTCTACTTATTCATCCATCCCATTCCTATTTATTGCTCTCGAACCATCTGCAAGCAAAGAAATTTAAATTCAGCTACTATACTTTGTTCTCTCCTTGCCTTTTTCCTTTCCTCCTCTCCTCTCCCTTAATTGGACTACACACTACACGCGCGCGTTAATATTTTCCTCTTCCCACCTTTTGGTCCCGCCCTTCAACACTGCACTGCACTGCACTGCACTGCGCTACTGCGGCACAGGCAACAGGCGAATCAAATACCCTTCTAGTCCAGTCTAGTCTACACCCTACTACGAGTACTATTCCTTTTGTAATACCTAACTTCTTCCGTCCTTTTAAACTTTCATTCTTCTTTCTTTTTACTTTTTATTTTATTTTTATACCATCCATCAAACACTGCTGGTGGAATCCACAGATCAGGTGTGTTGGAAGCAAGCGGGCACGCTAAAGAGGGAACGAAGCACGAAGAACGAATGGGGATGACTCAATGAATGGATGGATGGATGGTCAGGAGTCACTAGCAGTAGGGCAACACAAGCAGGAGTTGGAGGGAAAAAAGATCTAATTTCGTTTTAATGCTTTTTTTTTTTTTTTTGTCTGATGTGTTTGCGTTGCGTTTGTTTGTAGTCTTGTCCATTTTTTTTTTTTGCGAATTGGAGCCTTTCCATTTCTATTTTAATTTCACAACTTGTTTTTACCTGTGATTGGTTGATTGGTGGTTGAGTGGCGTGGTCGAGGTAGTAGTAGTCTTGCTTTCTGAAGTGTGTGAAGTGTGAAAGTGTGGTGTTGGTGGGGGAGGGGGCTTAACTATCGGATATTATAGAGATCAATCGATGAATGAATGGGCCAAGTTATCGGACGGCCGTACTCATGGCACAAAAGTACAGCAATTGAAAGCAAACGAAACAGAAGGAAACAAACCTTAAGGTGCGTGACGTGCCGACAGGCTTACCTTACCCACAACCCATACCTCCATACGCTCGTACACGATACAATGCAAAATGACTGAAATGGTGACAAAAAAACCAGTAAAAACCATACCGGTACTGTATTTCTATGATGCCAAATCACTTAACTTACCCTCTGGACAACGACAACGATACACACGCCACAATGACACACAACCATACCATCACACCCCTCCCATCCCAATGAACGACCATCAATCATACCAAAAACCTTATAAACCAGTACCAGTACAGTACACCAGGGATCGAACGCTCAATCCAATGCAACCCAGAAAGCATGGAGTGAACGAACGAACGAGCTACAAATCAAAATCATCAAAACAACTAACAAACCCCTGTACGAGTACCGGTACTTGTATTCCCCAATCCCACACAGTACTACTGTAGTAGGGGGGGGAGAATCAGCCAGGATATCATGCCCCCGTCGTGAACACGACCACTTGCAGATACTCGAGTTACAGAGAGATCTGAGCAAAAGGGCTGAATTTTGGCGGTACGTGCAATTTATCAGTGCGAGTGCAACTGTGCGAAGCGGAAGCGGATGGGGCCGGGACCACGGCCACAGGCGCGGTACGCAATGCACAGTACTTGTACTCGAGCACAGTACTTGTCCTGTGGGCAGGGTGGAACATGCTTGGCGGATAGGGGTTTGAGTGTTCATCTCAAGATTTCGTGACTTTCCCCCCTTCTCACGGTACAAGTACTTACCTAGAATAGGTCCTATTTGCCATGCCTATCTACCCATCCATCAAGCTTTTTCTGGAAGGGGAGAAAAAAAAAAATTCAAGGAAAAAAGTTCAGCACGGTCCGTCCCAGGGGCTTGCCCATCCTGGGGATAGCTGCGTAAGAGTGGGTCTGTGTTCTTGAGAATCTGGGAAACTCTCGTGCCTGAAGGGGGGATCCTCACAGCTTGTGCCCTCGAAGGGAATGGTACTGTATCCTTCTGTCTTGGCCAAACTTAAAAATTTCCTTTCAGCGGCAGAACTGGGAGTTCGGAACAAAAAAAAAAAAAAAAAGCTTCTGCTATGCATTGTGAAGTGAGTGAGTGAGTGATTGTGTGCCAAAGCTTTTTTTTGTTTTCAAACTCCTACTCCTACTTACCCTCCCCCCTCCCTTCCCCCTCCCTTCTTTCTGCATAGTGCACGGTATCGGTGTTTTCCTTATCGTTTTTTTTTCTCTCTCCTTGTACTTTCTTTTCTTTGTTGTTTTCCTTCCATCAGCATGTATGGGTACGGGTATGGGTATGGGTTATGGGTTACCGTATTGTGTAGGTCTTGAGAACATTTTTCTCGTCCAGTGCGTGTGTCCTGACGGTATGATACTTTTTTGGGGATGAGGGGGAAAGTGCGTCAAAATGCCCGGACTCGCAACACCTTGTTACGCCACATAGTTCACGTGGACCGTGGTTGTGTCCGAATAACGACCGCGCATACCTACCGGTACTTCAACTGACCTTCTCGGATAATAAAGTGCACAGTCCTCCACAGATAGATACATCCTTCCATCTCTCTCCCCTTTACGCCTTACCTATCCTTGCCGATTCCAGCCAAGCGGGAGGGCGGATATTTCCCATAATCACCAGAAATCCCAAACCTGCTCAATCGCCTCTTTGTACACGTCAATCCACAGCTCGGATCTATTGTAGCCAAATGGTATGGTCTTAAAAAAGGAGAAAAAGGAAAGAAAAAACGAAGAAAACGAAAAGCAACGAGGACGATCGATGCAAGTTGTTCTGCAACAGCATTGGTGGATCTAGTCGAAACAGAATTGAAGTCCGTACATGATTTCTGCGGCGTTGCTGTTGCCAGTACTTGCATACATACACGCTCCTTCACGGAGCCCGGCCTAGAACATATCGAGAACCGCCTAATCGTATCATCTCGTCAGCCCCAATTACTCTTGAGAGTGCGCTGCAGATCATCGACTTCCTCGATCAAATGAGGGGGGGCTCAGGATAGTGTGCTGTGTGAATGATTTGTCCCTTCAACGATGATGAGTGGACTTTTGAAACGTAGAACCCCTCGTCCCCGCAGGGAACGTCTGTCTGGTTCAAAAGTAATACGGGATATTTCCAATGTGGTGTTCCGAAAAAAATAAAAAAAATGTAGAATCGAAGAAGTATGTAAAAGTGAAAATAAATAAATAAATAAATGAATAAGAGGCAAGAAGAATCGTACCCCATGACTAGCATCTCCAACCAGATGTGCGTATTTTGCTAGCGTGCCCCTGGTGACCTTCAAACGAGGAGCTTTCCAACTCTTCAGTCTGGAAGCTATCTCTCCGTCACTCACGTTCATGCTTATCTGGTTGGTTTCGGCGTTGATAGCGACGATATCCCCGTCTGCCCGCCCCCCGTACCCGTTCCCCGCGTGTCAGTAAATGGACCATCCGAACCGAAGAAGCACTGTGCCCATCCGGATCAGGGAATATATGTGTTGTGGCATGGCCTGGCAAAAGCAACGACCAGCGTAGAAAGCCCTCACTTACCTTTTAGGATAGCGATTGGGCCACCAACTTGGGCTTCAGGCACTATGTGGCCTACTTTCAAAGTTATTACTGCGTTTTTGACAACCTAAAATCTGGCGATCCTGCAAGGGAAGGAGTCAGGAGCTACCGACCGACGATAAATCCATGTGAAGCTTGCAGGGTCTATGTCAGCCACTAGCAGCGCACAGCATTCCATCAGAACTTGACCAGGGTTCTCACCACCACTATAGCGTCCGTCTGTAATCAGAGCCACGTTGCGAAGGCCCGCACCCATGAGCACTGCACTTGTCTTTAGTTGCTCCGGCTGAAAGATAAACCACCTGCAGTCAGCATTTTTTCAACTTAACCTCATGACACTACCGGAAACATAAATCCGCATCGAACACATCTTTTGGAAACACCATCCTGCAGAGAATCGTCTTCCTCTCCAGATCAAGCCCCGGGCCCTATGAACGAGAAATGGCTGCGTTCACAACTTCCAAGAACAGGACGATCTCACGTTCCCTCGGCCAATACTTCCGGGAAGATTTCTCAATGACCTCTGAACAGAACCCCTGGAGTTCTGCCACGACTTCAATTAACTTGATACCTTCGGGCTGCAGATTTTCCCCACCTTCCTTGGAGTCCGATCGAGAGGGACCGACGAATGAGTTCTTGAACAATTGGTATCGAAATAAGCCACGAACGATGCTGCAGCAAGTACAGAATCTGTAACACTGGGTGCAGGAGCAGCTGCCAGTGTCTTGGGAACAGATAGCTTTGAGAAGCGGGCTCGGCCGTGCGGCAGTCTTCAGAACCGTGGGCCTGGATACACATCTCATGCACCCGGAGGGGAAAGCCAGTGGAGGAGTGCAAATATATCGCATGCGTCCAATCTCCTCGTTGGATGGTTGATAATAGCCTTGGGCGTTATGTCGAGTTTTGCCGGTGCATATGCAAGTCTAGAAAAGTCTTCATGTGTTGAACATGGATAACCCCGTATCGCGCAAACGGAAAATACAACCTCTCTTGTTTGCCGAACCTGACTTATCTGCAGTGTTTCCTCTCGGGTCGGACCAAACGAACAACAGTAACAATAATGAAAACCTTAGAACTCACCATACCGGGGCCACCCTTCGGCCCTTCATACCTTACGCAAAGCACAGTATTCTCACCTGGCTTAATCTCCCCTTTTTCCAAACTGGAGATTAGGGCTGGCTCGCCGTCATAGACTCGAGCCTTTCCGACAAATACTTTACCCTCTTTCCCGGTGATTTTGGCAACCGCTCCACCAGGTGCCAAGTTTCCCTTCAGAATTCGAATATGGCCGCTCGACTTGATTGGGTTGCTAAGAGGTCTGATAATATCTTGCCCTGGGTCGAGACTTGGTGCAGGCTCGCAGTTTTCCCTAAGTGTTTTGCCAGTAACGGTCGGGATATCTCCATTGACGAGACTGGCATGAATCAAGAATTTGAGAACCGACGGCATGCCGCCAATTTCAGCGAGGTCGGCCACCATGTACTTTCCAGAGGGCTTGAGATCTGCCAAATACGGAATCTTGTCGGAGACTCTCTGAAAGTCATCGATGGTTAAATCCAGGTCGGTAGTATGGGAAATTGCAAGGAAATGGAGAACGGCGTTCGTGGATCCCCCCATTATTATCGTCACAACCATAGCATTTTCGAAAGACTCCCGAGTTATCAAATCGCGGGGCTTAATATCCCTTTCCAGACAAATTCTGATAGCTTCAGAGACCCGGAGACATTCTCTCATCTTCGCGGGAGATTCGGCAGGCGTAGTAGAAGATCCGGGAAGCGTGAGACCCATGGCCTCGATTGCCGTAGCCATCGTGTTGGCCGTATACATGCCTCCACAACCACCGGGACCGGGGCAAGCGTGCCTAACGACATCGTCGAGGTCAGCCTCCGAGACCTTACCGTACATGAGGGCACCGTGGGCTTCAAAACAGCTTGAGATGTTGACTGGCTGGCGGAGGCGTTCGGAATAACCTCCCTTTATAGAGCCACCGTAGATCATGATCGACGGTCGGTTGTGTCGGGCCATGGCCATGATGCCTGTCTTGCGTTACTGCCGGAAGCGAGGGGAGGTTTTTTTCTGCTTAGGGGAACAAGGCAGAGAGGGGATATGTACATCCAGGCATGTTCTTGTCACATCCGGGGATGGAGATGTTCGCATCCTGTGTTTCAAACGTGTTAATAACTTCGAGTGATAGATGGAGATCGAAAAGTCGTTACATGATGCTGAGCACAAGTAGTTGTTTCGATGGAATCGGCGATAATATCTCTGCTTTGCAACGAGAACCTCATTCCTGCCCGCGAAGAGATCATATCATGTTAGCCTAAAGACCGACGATGAGACGGGAGATCTGGTGTTTGGTGTACCTTGGTTGCTCATGGTAATGGCATCTGAAACCTACGCGTTCTCACCTCATCGTCAGTTGTGATGGTTCTGTACAGCCAACAAGCAAGGAAACTCGCGGAGAACGAGGAGGAGAGGCCTTGCGGCATATACCCCAATGGTGTTGAATTGCCAACCAATCATGCCGATCTTCTCTAGACCTTCCTTTACAGTCTTGCCGAGGTCGAGTACTGTCGATTTTTCCCAAGTTCACCAATCAGAATACCGGTGAAGCGACCAATGGGTGCAGGAACGGGATGGGGGAGAACAGACGATGCATGCTACAAATCTAGTAAGCAATTGTGCCGGATATATATGGTATTTCGTTTTCGGTGTTGGAACCATACTTGCATGGGTTGCCTTCCCACCATACAGAAGCGACACCTAAAGACAAGGCAAAGCGTTTATAATTGCTCCGCCAGGATTGGATTGGAGGATTGGAGGAACTCATACCAACGTGCGGCTTCTTCCTCATGTCCTCCTGAGACTTGATCCCAGCAGCGTATAACATTGCCTGAGCTCCAGGAAACTCATAACCGTTGGTCAAAATCGAGGAATGGCGGTTCAGGACCAACTCTCCGTCCCTCTTGGTGCCATAGGGAATTGAGCGGAATTCGAGGAAATGTGATTTTCCATTTCCCTGCTGCTGCGGCTGGCTACTATCTTCGGCCATGGTTTAGGTGTCTCGGAAAATTCCTCAGAACGCAATTGGGAGGGGGCGGGGAGATATAAGAGGTTGCACGTGAGAGCGGCAACGGGGACACAACCGGAAGGGTGTCAGGTCAGAGAGAGAGGGGTATGGTAGGTGTGATCAAAGCAAACACACAAAAGAGGAGGTTGAATGGGAGTTAGGGATTTTTTCTTTTTTTTTGTCGGTGGGAGGATACGAAGGAGGAGTTAAGAAGAAAAAAAAAGGAAAGACGTGTATAGCCACGGCAGTGTGATGTACACGACAGAAATTGGAGTAACAGCAGGAGGCAAACAGAGACAGCGGGAACACAAGCACAACGAGGTACAAGAATCAGCAACCGCGAAGGAATATTAACAATAGGAGGGGGCAGCAGAAGTAGTAGGGGCAATAGGGGCAGTAGCAGCAACACAAATCAAGAAAAGGAGGAGGAGAGGGATATGGAGAGGGTGGGGGTTTAAAGGTTATGACATGGGAGATTTGAAAGAGGGTATGCTGTCGTTAAGTACCTAGGTCATGTTAATCTCTAATTCTCACTTTTTTTTTTTGCACTCTCTCCGACATGAAAGCGATCTCCGACATGCGTGTTCCTCAGTCAGTTATCAGGTTACCCCACATCTTAGTATGTACAAGTACAGGTTTACCCCACTTCGCCGGCCAGAAGGAGGTAAAAGAGGAAAAGGAAAAAAGCCGCTACCCCTTCCCCTCCATTGAGCTATTCTCTAATAACCCGCGAATCACCCTGCTACTTTCCCTACGAAAGAAGAAAAAATCATGATGCTCGAGGGGGCGGAGGTAGGGGTGTCGGGGTAAGGAGAGAGGTAGAGCCGCGGTGGCCGGGGGTGGGGCGGCGAGCAATGACCCAGACCAAGAATCAATGGGGAGGGGGGTTCAGGCTTATAAGATCAGATTGGAGGTTGGAATTAACTCATCCCTTCAGGTAAAGAATAAATATAAAAAATTAATAGCCTCCTTCTGGTCTGGTGTCGGAAAGTGGCTTTCTGTACAAACTAGGTTGTGTCAGATTTTTTTTTTTTTTTTTTTGTTCTATGGGTTTTCCTAACCTATCCCTAACACCTGCCTAATCCCTTAATTTGTTTGCCAATGTTATGTGCCCGGCTTGAGGGTTTGTGTGAGCGTGTGGCAAAGTCAGTTAGAAGGGGAGAGAGGGAGGGAGGGAGCGAAGAGCTTGCTGGTTAGGATGATTTAGTGATTGATTATGCGTTCTGTGTGCGTGCTCGTCCGGATACGCTTCGTGGCGCATGTTTCTCGGCAATGCAACCGTTTACCCGCGTGCGTCTTTCAACCGCACCGCCCGACGCCAGGGCTGTCTGCCGACGGCCGTGAATGGTTTCGGGAGCTCTCCTTGTGCCTGGTAATAAATTTGAGTATGGAGTGAGTGCGGCTCCCCTCATTCTACGACATTCAATTCGTGTGATTGAATGGCGCGCGGCCATCGTGAGAATTGTTTGGGGAACCTTTGCTTCTTGGCAGGGCAATGTGAGATATCATTTGCCAGAATACGCTGGAGAACACCCAAAGAACTCTTTCTCGACCCCCTCAGCGATCCTTGCCCACCACCCACAACATCCAGCTTCCCGACCCTCCACCCTTTCCTGGAAGAATGGGAATGAGAATGAGAGATAAGAAGCGATGTCCAAAATGTTCAAGATCTAAAAAATCCACCCATCACATCCTTTCCGGTTTCACAGCCCAAAGGAATTCCGCTAAACCTGATTTGTCAGTGGCCGCAAAACGCCCACTGCCAACCACAAAAAACGTGACCAGGGCGCAGCGACTGGCTCCGAATCCTTCACACACATTCTCTCCCTGATGATAAACTGCACTCTCTGCACTCTCTGCGCACAGCACAAATAGGAATGAAACAGAACAAAATAAAAACACCCTCACACCTAAACCTGAGGTGGGAAGTACGGTAGATATTACCCTATTATCTGCACTCGGTGCGAGAGCGAAGCTGGGGGAAGGGAAGGCTGGCGGGGGGGGATAGAAAGAAGGAAACGAATAAACAACCATAATCATAAAATTATATAGGGTGGGGGAAGTGGAGCATGGGCTTATGAGATAGGGAAAAGGGAGAGGGGGGATACCGGAGGAGAGGGCAAGAGCGAACACGATCTGATGTATGATGATAATAGAATTTGTTGCTGATCTTTTTCTAAAGTTGATTCCGGAATCCGCTCACCAATTCATCCATCAACCCCTCCAGAAGCGACGTTCGATCGAGTCAAACCACCCTTCTTTCCCTCAAACACCTTCATCAAGTATAAAGTTGGTCGTCTGCTGGCCGCTCAAAAACATCTTCCCTCGCCCACCCGCCCGTCCAACCTATTTCTTACAACGGGGCGGTCAACGCTCTCTATCCATACCCATACGCGCATCCATCCATCCATCCATCCATCCATCCCTTCTCTCTCCCTCTCTCTTTTCCGATTTCAGCTGCCCTTCTTATTCCCGATCTCTCCTTGCCCGGGCCCATCATTCAATCATTTCCGCAGATAGACAGGCGGCCCCAAAAGAATAGGGAAATAGGGAATGAAATAAGAAAAATACGTTTTCCCATCATAATCGCTCTTCGCCGCCCATTCAGCTTTCTTTCCCCCTCCGCCTGCGTCGTATGCATTCACTCATACATCCATAAACCCATCCCCCCATCTTTTTGCTGATTGCTTCTATCGCCTCGAGGCCCACGACAAGGCAACGGCCAACGGTGTTCGTTCCATCTGGATCAACCACCTTTGACCACACACCCCCCTCTTTCCCTCCCTCCCTCCTTCTTCCTTCCATTTTCCGTTTTCCTCCCTTTCTCCAATTCGATCCAATCCTATCCCTGCTTTTATCTGCGTGCTCGGGTCAGAACATAGAACGTTACGCTGGGCCCTTGGCCTCTTAAATAAATAAATGGCCGACAAGTCCTTCGCTCGCTCCATTACGGAACGGAGCTCATTTTTGTCGTCCCTTTTCTCCAGTGTCTCTACGACTCGGTGTACACCAGCTGCCTTGTGGCCAATTCTGATCGACAATATCAAACAGCCAAAAATGGTCGGTGCTGTGCTCTGTGGTATTCCCCTGGTATATGTCGGTCTACGGTCTTTGAGAGAGAGAAGGAGCAAGGAGGAGGAGGTGAGAAGCTTAAAGGGAGCTCCAGATGATGGGCACAGTGTGCATAGCAACTATGAGAGCCTCTCGAATGCGAGTTCATCAGTTTCAGGTGTGTAACATTGATTTCTGGGCTTGGTTGCTCCTCTCTCTCTCTTTTTTTTTCCTTCTTTCATTTCGGCAGTGCGACGTGGGCGGGTGTAGCATCACATAAAGTATGATATGTGCCGCGCCTTATCAGTTCACACCGTCACTATGCTTCGCTTGCTTGCTTTTTCCTTATGAATTTTTTTCTTCCGCATCACCCTCCCCCCTTGCTTTGCTACTTTTTACTACATTTTTCTCTTAAACCTCATCTCTACCCCGTCATACGTAGCGGGAGTCCCTGGAGTTTCATGTGCTTTATAATGTCACTCATTCACGCCCCTTCAATCATGACCCGCGACTAATGATTATCGAAAACCTTATTGGTGCAGATTCTTCTCTTTTACGCAAGCATTCGGAAAACATATCTGTCACCACTAAGCATTACACATATCCTGCAGTTCGTGTTTTCTATCGGCCACATCCCAAGGCTTCCGTTCTTCCCCCCAAGCTCCCTCTGCTGGTCTTTCTGCATGGTATGTGGCTATCGTGCTTGTCGTCCTTCTAACAGGGATTGATTCTAGTTGTCTAGGGCTTGGGGGTCAGATGTCTCAATTTCAGTATTTGCTCGAGTTCTTCGTAAGTCCTGATTTTTAAACCGAATAAAATAGAGCTGAAGATTGGTGTACTAGTTGGTAGGCTAGTGCTGATAGAAATTTCTCTGCTTTTAGGTTCACATATCTCATACCCTTGCGATTGACCTGCCGGGCTGTGGACCCTCTTCGGAATTCTCCCCTAAGGATTGGGATGCATACACTACCTCCCGATTGGTAGAATTGATCGCGGAAGTGGTTAATCAAAAACTTGAAGATGGCCAACAGGTGGTCCTTTTAGGGCATTCGATGGGATGTTCGCTCGCAGTAACTCTTATAGCTGAGGGGGGCCTGTTAGCGGATAGATGTGCAGGGCTTATAGCAATCTGTCCCAAAGCTACCGTCTCCGAGAAGGAATTAAAGACCTTAAAGACAGCATTGGCATTTCCGGAATTCATGTTCGATCTATTCCGGATCTACGATGGCCGGGGTGGAACAACATCGAACTCAGTCACTCGGTTTGTTGGGTCAAATTCTACGGAAAAGGTCAGAAAACTGCAGCTGCGTTTCAACAAAGAATCACGAACACCCGTGTGGAGACGAATGGTTAATGGTATTCGCCTACCAACAGAGGAGGAGTGGACCTCAGTCAAGTGCCCAACTTACCTTCTAGCGGCTTCGGAAGATAAAGTTTGCGCCACAAAGGAAGTTGACTTGATCCATTCGTGGTTTGATCCTGCAAAGAGAGGCGGATCTGTATCCACCACCAGCATGGGTGGCTCCGCAGATAGTACGCCATCGTCGTCCCTTTCACCATCTCCTGCGAGAACTAGGCCCGTCGTGAAGAAGTGCATCATCCCTGATGCAGGACATGGTGTGATGTATGAAACCCCGCAGGTTGTCAGTGGACTTATCGGCGATTTCTTGTCCGAATATGTTACCGAAGTCTTGTCCTTAGGCTGGCAGTTGTTATATCTCAAAGAAGACAAGTGGCTCCTGAAGAATCTTGAGAAGTGGACTCGGATCCAGAGCGTCAGTCCAAGGATAGGCGGGTACATTGACGGCTCAGGAGGACCGTATGTGAAGTCTCCTTTCAGGGCCATGAAGACGTTGAGGCAGAATGACCCGAGCGGACACAACCCTGTTGAGTTCAGTGGGAAATGGCCAGACGTAAAGGACGCGATTGACATCTCCCATGAGCAACCACCGTATGACCCGGAGACACTCGGGGATGGTGTTAGGTATCACAAGTGTGAGTCCCCCCCACACGAACAGCTTGGCCGAGTAAGCCTGGGTACTAAGACGTATCTATAGTCCCGACAGTTTCCAAAATTCCCCCAACCCAAGATGAGGTGGCTAGCTTCATCGAGCTCGTAGACTCGATTAGGAAAGAACGCGGCTACAATGATAATATCACCATCGCCTGTCATTGCCATTACGGATTCAACAGGACGGGATTTTTTGTTTGCTGTTACTTGATTCAACGCTTGGGGTTTAACGTGGAACAAGCTATAAAGGCCTTCAAGGATGCAAGGCCGCCAGGGATACGCCATCCCCACTTCATCAATGAGCTTTTTGAGAGACATTGTTTGGGTTTGGTTAGGGCGCCAACCTTTTAGATCGCCACGTTTTACATGCGAAATCGGCAATCTAATCTCACACGCTTTCCCGATATCCCTACAGTTATCTGTCTGATCTTTCTACAAGTACATTGTTACTGGGCCACTTTTATTAGCGTCACCCTCTCACATGACATTAATACTACATTATACCTCGTTTCAGTCTTATTCCTAGCATTCAAGGCACTATGTCTTTGTTCGCTTGTCTAATATTTCGGGCTTTTCCTCTTTTTCTCAATGGGCGCAAAGGCAGGCTTTATTACGATCATTGGGAATTTCATAATTGGGGCTGTATTATTTTTGTTTGATCCCGATTTCCTTATAGCTGGGGGCGAAACTCTTTTTTTTTTTAACTGTATTTGTAACACTCCTTTGCGTTCTTCCTCCCCATTGGTCACTCGGAATGTAAATTTTTTTTTTGAAGGGGTATGATATTGTTTCTGGACAAACACAGAAATATCCGGACAAAATCACGGACCCTATGTCCAAATCCGTGTGGGACCTGACCGGATAGTTTCCGGCACTTGTGGTGGGGTCACAATTGTCCGGATCCAGAACCAGACCATTGGTATCCCATTTCAACTCCCAATTTAGGTATTCCAATTTAGGTATTCCAAACTGCCCCGGGCGAAGATCGGTGTCTTTTTTTATTTATCTTTTCTTTTCTTTTTTTTGTTATATCCATTATCGAAGCATTGAGATTCAGACGGGGGTTGAGTTAATACCGTATCACAAGTTAATGTCTGTGTGATATTTCTATCTGGTCCAGGCAGCGCCTGAGTTTATCCGTACTTATACCGTAGGGTAGGCTTACTTCTAGTAGGAATGGCCAATGATATCGCCCTCCCCCTCCCCCTCCCCCCTCTTTCTAACCCTTTCCCCCTCTCTCCTACCTACAGTACCACAATTATTGTACCGACCCCAAAGTGAAAAAAAGTAATGAGCTACCTAGGGTATCCCAACGTACTCACCGCTCAATATTTCGTATCGTGGGTGGAAACACGGTGCCTTTTGACTATCGTAGTGCTTGTACTATACTAACTTTATACCTGTGCGGACGTTGACTACTATTACTGTTACTGTTGCTGTTGCTGTTAACACTGCCTCGCTCACCGCGGGTTCTTATGTGAGTTTTTTTTTTTTTTTGAGGGGAAGGGGAGGGGAAAAAATATCGACATGGGATGGTATGGTAAGTGTCAGCGAAGTTTCTGCCCAATTCATCTGGTTTGAGGGGGGAAAGAACTCCAAACTCTTCTGTGGTGAAGTGTTAGACGGAGGTACAGTACAGTGCTCGAGTATAGTATGATACAGTAGTGTATGATTCCAACAGCACATTATCTCCTTCTTTCTTTCGTAAAACACGAACACGTCGTGCGCTCTGCGCTCTTTGCTCTCTCATGGAGTAATGATGTCAATTCCTACCGCCGGGAAGCGTTTGGAATATGTTCCATGTTGTAGATCACTTTTTTTTTTTTTTGTAACCATGGCTGTATCATCTATCATTCGTTATGCAAGGTGAAGTCTTTTTTTTTTCCGCTTGGTATACTTTTTCCGGTGCTGTGCATAGAAACCTTTCTTCTCCCCCTCCCCCCCTTTTTCCCATACCAACTGGAATGGGATTGTGGGGCATGGGGAATGAAGTGGTGGTTGTCGGTTGGTTGATAGCGATGTGCATGGGGAGATCTGGGGCTTGGGCTTGGCTGTTGAAGTGGAAGGGACAGGCGGAGAGATGTACTGTATAGGTAAGGAGGTGGTGGGTGATGTGGTTGCTCGAGTGATCGGGAGTGAATGTGGGTGGGAGTAGTTGCTGGGTCGGGTGAGGGTGAGTGGGTGGGTGTGGGCATTTTTGCTGACTGTGCTTTGGGTCGGTGACCTTGTAGACTACTCGAGTGAGAGGTTGTGGAGGGGTGGTGGCGGTGGTCGATCGGGGCTGTAATACTAGTATGATACAGGTCTAACTCAGTCTACCCCTACCTGCCTGTGGGGAAAAGAAAGAAAGGAAATGTTGACTATGGCTGGATTGCGCTGCATAATTATATGGGTATGATATCATCATGGAGACTGTGATTTTGAAGGTTGAGGTTGGGGCTATTATTACAACTTACCGGTAATACTATTGTAACCCGGTTTTATCATAGTGGTGTGTGTATGTGCTAGTACTGTACCGGTACATATCACACCAGATTTTGCTACAAGCACCGGTACCGGTACTTTATCTATTTCTGCTACGAAGTATATTGTCCGTTTTTGGCTGGGGTGGGGGGAAAAAAAATGATGCATCCAGGCTTTTCAGCTTTTCATCATTAGTCTACAGCACTTCCCCCTACCATCAGACAATCTTTCATCACCAAGGGCCAACTCCCAGCTCCTTCCATCAAATACAAACCTCGTTGCCGCGCCCCTCCTTCTCCTTCGGCACGCACGCGATATCGCTCAAGCTCTCCATCTCCCCCGCACCCCACCTATCCAGCGCAATCAAACCGACTGTTCCACACATTCACCGTAAAAGCCTCACACTTGACGCTTCAGTTACTCAGCTCCCTCAACCACTCACGCAACAAACCCCCCTCCTCTCCATCCTATCGTATGGACTCTATCCGTCAAACCTGTTCGGGTCGTCTCACTTTCGGTTGAGGAGATGGCGGATCCCTTTAATCCTCACTACCACTCGCAGGGTCTAACGCACCACCACCCCCACCATCCCCACACATCTAATCTCCATCCCTCGATTCAGTCCCCCGCACCTCCACCGCCTCCACCGCCTCCGCCGCCGACACCCGCACCGGCGCCGGCCGTGACGCATAGCAGGGCTCCCAAAGCAGTCTTTGCAAGATTGACTCAGCCGTTTATCGGGACGAGTAGACCTCCGAGCTCTTCTGGGCCTGGGAGTGGGCTTCATGGGAATCTACCGACTAGCGCTCCGTATACACTCCCCTTCCTTTTCTCCATTTTTTCTTTCTTTCTTTTTCTAAAAAAAGGGGGGGGGTATTAGGGCTGATTTAAAGTGATTGCAATAATTTTCTTTTGTTGAGGGAAAAGTCGAAACTTATTAAAGCCCCGAACAAGCCGATATAACCTCAATAGCCCTATCTTTGCGCTCTCCGCAAACATAGAAGGTGACCAGGTCGTTATCGCAGGTCGTGGTATCCTTAGGATCTTGCGTGTAAGCTATGACGAGATAGCTGAAGCTTCCGTCTTGCGTGTTCCCGCGGAGCAGAAGAAGCACCCGCAGTACGACGTAAAATGGGGTACGGTCCATCAGAAGAACACCGTTGCAACAGCGGGGACGAACGGGACTATCTGCGTCTACGATACTAAGGATGGGATGCTGGACCGCCAATTGAGAGAGCATGGGAGACAGGTGCATAAGGTGGCGTTCAATCCCGCGGATGGGAGGCTGCTGTTGAGCGCTAGTCAGGACGGGACTGTCAAGCTTTGGGATTTGAGGGAGAAGAAGAGTCGGCTGACGTTTGTGGGGAGGGCGGATGCGGTGAGGGATGTGCAGTTTAATGCTGGGAATGCGGTAGAGTTTGCCGCGGCGTTTGACAATGGGACAATTCAGGTATTGCCCCTCTATCCGTTACGATTGGCAGCGGGGGGGGTACTGATTGGGTTTGGCTAGAGGTGGGACTATCGAAAGGATAATACTTACGAGAGGAGTCTTAGCGCTCACAATGGACCTGCGTTCACGGTGGATTGGCACCCGGATGGAAAGCACTGTGCTAGTGGTGGTAGGGATAGAACTGTGAAGGTATGGGATTTTTACGCTGATCCTAGGCAAAAAGCGAAACATACGATTTCTACCATGACGTCTGTTAGTCGGATTTCCTGGCGGCCGTTGAAACAAGTGACTACGGAGTTGGCCACCTGTGCGATAGGTAATGATCACAGAGTTCACGTATGGGACCTGAAGCGTCCTTATATCCCCACGAGGATAATGGATGAGCACGAGAATGCCGTTACGGGTATTCTCTGGAAGGATGAGGACACCCTGTGGTCTTGCTCCAAAGACAATATGTTTGTACAAAATGATGTCAGCTTTGCGAGCCGACCTATCAATTCCCTTACCCACGGGGCATTCTCTTGGAGCCCTACGGGGAGCTTTACATTCACGGTTGAGCAGCGCAAATCGCGGAGGAGCACATCCCGGGGCTTCGACTCGGAGGACGATCTAGCAGGTCATGACCGGCGAAGGCATGGGAGAAGCAGTTCCTTCAGAAGCTCAAAGCCAACACTGGGAGGTCTAGAAACCCTCGACAAGATATTTGTGCCGTCGCAGGCATCCGCGAGCGTGCACATACCCGGCCTCTTCGACGAGGTGGCCTTCTCATATTTAGCACAGAATTACATTTTTGACCTGGAAGGTGTAATGGGCGGATCAAAGATCTCGCTCGGAGAGGCCTGCGAGGCGAACGCTCGGACAGCCTGGATGATGCAGAAGTACAGGACCGCGCAGACGTGGAAGGTGCTTCAACTCGCACTCGTGCGCGAGGAGAAGGCAATTGAGCGCAGACATGAGGCGAAGGCTACTGGCTTGTCCCCGGCAACGGGGGTAGCGAGTAGTTTAATGATGAGGAAGCAAGCACTAGCTGCTGCTGAGCAGAGTAATTCCGGTGGAGCGACGCCGCTCGCGGGACCTACGCATATTGGCATCGCAACACCCACACCGGGAAGACCTGACGGTTCTGTGGATGAGGCGCTGCTACTGCTGCCCCCGGCTTTTGGAACAAGTCTTGGTTCTAGCACCACCTCCACGGACGGGGAAGAATATACTGGGGGGCATGTAAATGACGATGAGACGGAGGGCGCAAAACACCAACCCCCATTAGATGTCACGACGGACGCCATGGTGGGGGGGGAAAAGCCCATTTTGACAGACTCACAAAACGGGGTAGTCAATACCACAACTGCTAATATCAATAATTATAATACGACCTCCGCTACTACTGCTACCACAATAGGCTCGCTGGCCCTCTTCTCGGAGAGCACCGGCCACTCCCCTGCAACGCCCATCCCACCCGTACCCCCGATTCCGATGTACCAGTCAGCGGGTTCCCCAGCAGTGCACATGCTGCACAGCGAGCAGTACTCCTCCTCCGCCTCCGGCAACATGGAGAAGCGGCGGGAGAGATTCTACTCGCTGGCTAGCGAAACCACAACCACCTCCTCATCCTCGTACGGCGACTTCCGCAACCGTGTTAGCGAGGACGATGACGAGAGCACATCCCCAAAAACCGGGACCTGGATGGAAGCGATTGTGGAAGAGCCCCCTTTACCACCACCACCGCCGCCACCCCAACAGCCGCCTGCTTCTGCTCCGCCATCACTACACCTCCCCTCCGCAAAAAACAAAGCCAGCCAAGCCACGCAGGGGAAAGAAGAGGACCAAACATTCACTCTCCACCCCCTCCCCCTCTTGGAGACCCTCCTGGAATACTACGCTTCGACAACAGACGTGCAAATGCACACAACGATATTCCTCCTCTTATCTTCCTCTCAAACATTCTCGCCTTCCCCGCTACTAAAAGCTCTCTTCAACACCCCAACCTCAACCCCCCCTACTACCTCCTCCCCCACCACCGCCGCCATCACCGCCACCCCTCCCCTCTCCCTTCTAGAATCAATATCCTCATATCTGGACCTCCTCCGCCGCCTCAATCTTCACTCCGTTGCCGCTAGCGTGATCAAGTGTGCCCAAGCCCTCCCCGAATTCACTGCTCTCGGCCAGACAAATACCCATCTAGACTTTGCCTGCGGCAGATGCGCTCGCCCCATTGCCATCGCTACCGCCACTGCCACTAATACTGCTACTTCTATGAAGGTTGGTGCTGGGGGTGGGGGGCTAGGGTGTGGAAAGTGCGGGGCCGTTGATGGATGCGTGATTTGTTGGGGCAAGGTTGGGAGGTGGAGTATGTGCCAAGGCTGTGGACATGGTGGGCATGATGGGTGTTTGAGGGAGTGGTTTCTCGGCGGTGGTACTAGAGGGGAATGCGCTGCTGTTGGATGTGGGCATTATTGTTTGCCGGAGTAGTAGGGTTGTTGGTGGTGGTGGAAGAGGGAGGAGGAAATAGGGGGGGAAACGTATATACTAGCCAATATATTCGTGAGACATTATCGATTATTCGTGACATGGTTTTATGTATATGTATGTATGATAAATAAACGAGATGAGTCTGGGATTTTTGGAACTCCCCTTCCTTTCATCCGTTCATCACCGATCGACCAATCAATCAATCAATCAATCAATCAAAAAACGCTGTACAAGGAAAGAGAAAAAGAAAAAGAAAGGAAGAAAGGAAAAGGGCATCAACTAAACATCCCAAAAAATCAAAAAATCAAAAAATCTCGCGAGTCGCAAAACTACCTACTCCCGGGCCTCTCCCAAACCCTAACCCTCTCCTCCCCCCACCCAAGCCCCCTCCTCCTCCTCCCTCTACTCTCCACCACCCCACCACCCATAGCACCCCGCTGCAGCTTCCTAATAGCAAGACGTCTCTCCTCCTCCCCTACGCCATCGAACCCCCCGCCGTCTCCGGCGCTAGCACCACCACCAACACTCCCGACTCCATCCACCGCGACAACCACACCGGGTCCCTCGCGCACCGCGACACCCAGCGCAACGACTAGCGCGACCATGAAACGGACCCACAGCCACACATGCTCGACGGCTTCTTCAACGGGTTGGGGGAAGACCAATGGTGCGGAGGTGGATCTTGGCCTTGCTAATGCTACCGCCTTTGGCGCAGTGAGGGCGGTGGAGGATGGGGATTGTTGGTGGCAGTGACAATATGCACAAGTAGTGGTAGTTGTGGGGGGGGCTTTTGTCTTCTTGTTCTTTTCACCAAATTCCTTCCTCGATGAGCGCCTTGACGAGGGTGATGACGAGGGGGAGGAGGGTGGCTTTGGTGATAGTAACAGGTGGTGGCGGTGGTGGTGGTGGTGGTGAGGGCGGGAAACGCGATTGCCGACTACCCCGCCGAGAATGTCCATTGCTTTGCGCTTCGCGCTGAAGAATGTGCCCTGCGGCGAGACGAAGGATTCGCCAACTTTACTAATGGCTTTGACGACGAGGGGGGTTGGGTTGGTTAGTCCTTCGGAGATGGAGGCGGCGGTGGCGTCGTTGTCGTCGCCATCGAGACCTGCTTCGGTGTCTTCCCCAGAGTCTTCACTAGAGTCTTGGGCTCGGGCTAGTTCCGCAAAGAGGGAGGTTTGCGGGGTTGCGGCTTTTGGTGCCTGTTGGGGGGGCGCACAGCGGGAAGAGGAGGAGGAGGAAGAGGGAGGGCGAGAGAGAGGAGCGAAGATTACGGATGCAGGGTCCGAGAGGGTTGGTAGGGTTGGAGATGTGATGGTAGTTGCGGTTACAACAGCAGCGGATGGGAGGATTAGGGTTTTTGGAGCGGAGGAACCGGAGGGGAAGCGGCGCATCCTGCGGCTTCGTAGGGCTGCAGATGGAGGACGAGGGGATGTTTGGACTAGTGCTGTGTTGGGATTTAATTCTATCCCGTATTCCTCCGAATATCCGATTTCTCCTTCTACTCCTTCCTCCTCCGTCGCAGCTAGCTCGGACATACGATAGAGCACGGCTTCAATTGGATCAGTGATTCCGTAGTCTTCTAGTGCGCAGGTACTCCTCTCACGACTCGCCCTCCAACTGCGGCCCTCCACAGGTGTATTCTTCTCACCGGTGGCAGTAACATCGGCAGCTGCTGCAGCACATCTCAACTGTGTCCCTGGCGAAGGCGTCGATGATGGTACGGGTGACGACCCAAGACTACTACTCCTCTTTGGAAGCGCAATAGAGCCGGGCCTACCCGAGCCTACGGACGAGCAGTCACTCTTACCAACACCAACACTTTGCGCCAGCCTCGTCGAGTCCGCCAAAAGCTCACTGAGAGCCTCAATCCTAAACTCCAATGTCCGATTCTCCTCTTCTACCCCCCTCAAATCCGAAATCATGGCCCTGGCCTCTTCGAGGTTTACCTCGGCGGTCTTGCACCTGTACTCTGCCTCCTCAAGCTTTACCTCCAAGTTCTTGATCTTTGCGCGCAGGGATTTATCAATAGCAGCGCGAGCATTGACCTCCTCCTTCACACGCGTGGAAAACTTATTCTCCCAGTCTGTTAGCTCACTGCGGAGCAGGCGGGCCTCAGCTGTCAGCTTGCGCATCTTGACGGCGTGGCTGGTGCCGTCGCTCGGGGATGTGTAGCTCTGCAACTGCGAGACCGTATCGGCTATCTGATGCTCGAGGTAGTCGATATAGCGGGCCGAACTCCCCGGCGAGTCCCCACTGCTGATCCCACCGTTCGAGCGGTTCCGGCGGTGGTGAGCGGTCGAGGCGTAGTTGTATGGACTCGGGGTCGAAATCATGGACATGGGACGCACCGGAATCGGGCTAGTCATCGCGCGGACGGAGCCCACTGGTGAGAATAGTGGTGAGGGGGGTCTTCCGTTACTACCGCTTCCTCGTTCATCTTCACTGCCGCCCCCCGCCTTATCGTCCACCCCCCCACCAATCAACGTCGACCCATCACTCAAAAGCGAAGAAGATGAAACCCTATTCCTACGTTTCCTACCCGCCTCACCGCCGTTGTCGTTATTACTACCCTCCTCCTCCCCATCCCCCCCCTGATCCTCCGTCTCCCACCCATTATCCTCTGGAAACGAGGACTTTCTACCAACAGGACTTGTCAACATTCCCCTATGCGTGTAGTAGCCTGAGCTCGGTGGTAGTGTGCTAGGATTTGTTCGGGCATTGCGGAGTCTCAGGCGACGGTTTTGTAGGGTTGGGGCTTCAGCTGTTGACATTTATTTTTCCTATTTTTGTGGATGAGGGGAGGGAAGGGGAGGGATTTCGAAAAACTCGTAACAATGAAAGAATGAATGAGAATGAATGAGAATGAAAGGTAAAAAGAGAAGAATTGTTGGGGAAAGGGGATGGATGACACCGCAAAGCAGGGAAGGAATGAATGATGGCAATAGGTTTAGGTTCAGAATAGGGGGGGTCAAATACATACTAACCACATTGCACGCAAACGGAAATGTGTTTACTGTTGTATGATAATAATAAAAAAAAGAAAGAAAAGTCACCCGGATTCGTTCACACCCAGCTGAGCCTCCTTCATATTGATACCGATAATGTAGTAACAAAAAGGCTTCTCAACCCTTAAATAAGGCCAGACCAGGGGTCACGCTAGCCCATCATTCCCTCCACCGAGTCGAAGAAGGCCTGTATTCTGATGGCAACGGTACAATTTTTCCCCACTTCCATTGTACTCGAGTGCAGAGTATTCATATATTTTTCCTTCACGGGATCGCACGGGTACGGTACCCTACAAGCACAGCACGAGCACCTGTGCGGCGGGTTCCAGACCGCAGACAAGAGGAACCCGGGAACGGATGCCATCATGCAGAGTGGAGACTGCGGACAGGGCTGCGTGGCGTTTATAAGCTGCTGTACTTGTGCTACAAGAGTAACGAGTACTCGGGTGTACAAGTTACGGGCATAAAGAACCCGAACATGAGTGCCAAGTCGAGTGGCAATACCGGGGTGTATGACAGGGGGTTGAAGGGCGTATGGGAGGGGGTATTTTCTTGGCTAATGACGCCACAATGGGGGTTTGTTTGAATATTCTTGCCGGTTAAAAAAAAAATTCTTGAATTTTTTATAATACAAAGTAGAATTAAAAATTATATAAAAAAATTAGGAATTAGAAATTAAGATTAAGAACTGGAAGCAAATATCTACAAACTACCATCTTGTATGTCCTCCTTGGGCAGTAATAATGGCCTCAACTCTTCGAGGCATTGAATCAATAAATGACAAGAGTACATCTTCAGGAATCTTTCGCCATTCCTCCTCAATTGTGGCCTTCATGCCTTCTATTCCGTTTGGGTGGGACCACTTATTGAACATGTCCGTTAGTAGGCGCTAGACATTATCTATCAGGTTGAGATCCGGGGAGTAAGAAGGCCAGTTGAGCTTCCACATGCCTCAGCCATCTTGAACTGCAGGAGTAAATCTGGCTTGGTAAGCGAAGGCTCCATCTTTCATAAGCCAAAGAAGTGATCCCCCACTGGCCTGTGCATTCTCCTGCTCCCAGAATGGCAGAAGAGCTGGGATCAGGACTTTGGTAACATAACTCTATGCAGTTATAGTACCTCAATTGTCCTGATGCCAAAGGACAAGCAGGGTTTTTTTGCCTTCAAGAATTCCACCTTAGATGAAAGAATTCTTGTGGGCAAATTTTAGGACAAGGCAGTTGTTGTGAAACTCCTCCCCAGGGCGCCAGATGATCCAGGTATGGTTCAGAATGCCTGAGAGCCAATTATAGTACTCATCTGTTCAGATCACCTGGCGCTAGCTGTTTAGTGTCCAGTTACCATGGGCTATAGCAAAGTCCAATCATAGTTGGAGCTGACCGGCATTGAGGAGGAGTTTCCAGCAGGTGACTCGGCAGCTGTATCTTTCCTTAGCAAATGTCTTGCGAAAAATTCTGTCACAGACCTCAATATTGCAGAGGCCTGCCACCCCTCTGAGAGGCATTTACCGATATTCGGTGCTCTCTGTAGCACAGACTACAAGGTGATATCTTGTTGGAGTACCAAGTAGGACTGGCCGTCTCTTGATTACTTGAGGGGTAGCTGTAGCATGACAGATACCATGCATGGTACAAACTGATGGGTGTTAGGTGGAGACAACCTGAAAGACTTCAGAGTTGTCTAGGCCAAGCAATATTTATTTCTGTAGATAGAGATTGTCTAGGAAGGCTCGAATTCACTCATTTTGTTTATGACTACTAAGAGCAAAGTAAAATCGGCAAAGTAAAATAGAATCATAAAATAATATTATATTGTTAAGATCTCTTCTCCATTGCATAATGATGTCTAAAAGCTTGGAAGGTACATTGATATTTATATTCTGCGTCTGAGTGTTCAGGGACTATATCCATCTATTATACAACTATATATCTCTCCGATTATAATTCACAAGGTCGGTATTCTTCAAAGGTGCGAATACGTGAAGACCCTGAAAATCACCACACCCTCTTCGGTAATTGCAATATAGCTAACTGGGAATCATGCAGTTCCCAATAGTAATTATCCGATTGTCAGAGTCTTTAGACTTATGGCCTAGTTCTCAAGTTGAACTGAGTTGGCCCCAATTGTCTCTGTTATTAATGAAATGATTAGTTTTATCTGCAGGTTGTATCTGTGAAGGTAGTTATAATTGTAACCTTTCTAGGTCACCTGAGTTCAAACTCTCATAACTCCTTATCCAACTGATAGATATCTTCCGGAGAACTCCCTACTAATTCACAGGAAGCTATTCTACCAGATTGAGAGAAAATCCCTCGGTCAGCAAATCTTGGTTACTCTGGGTAACACTATTTCAATCACCATTCTAGTATTGGAAGTCATCTCCGCAGCTATAACGTATTTCAAAACCTGGTTGTAACACTCTGTAAAGTCCATTAGCTTCTATGGTAGTATCCCTCAGAGTTCTAAACTTCTCTAGTTATTGTAGGGTAGGTGTCAATGTATTGGCTTCTCTTTGAGATTCTTTATCATTCAATACCATCTCTTCATGCAAAAACCTCCCATTAGTGATGGCCCATGCCAAAGACATCACATTCTTGAAGCCTAGTAACTTATTGAATAGCTGACGAATTCACTCTGTTCCACTTCCTAGACCTAGCTAAAGGTCCTCGCTCATATACTCTGCAAATAGGATCCAGTCAGAGAGACGGCCGCAACATACATGGTGTTATTCTAGCACCTTCAATCTTGTTGCATTATAATTACAGGATGCAACCGAGGTTAATATGTATGGTGAGGTGCAGGTCCAGTAAGGGGGCTGGATGGGAGTGTTGGAGACTATGGATTCCGATTCAGAGTAGGGTTATCTGACTTAGGGTTGTTCCTAGGTATCGGATACCAGTATTCCTAATATGAGTCTCCTTCTCTTAAGGCTTCGCCTTGAATGCCTTTTTGGATACATATAAAACAAATTAAAAATTAAAATTAAAATTAAACAATTAAGTATTAAACCTTAAAGATTAATTCCTTTAGGACCCTATGAGGACAGAATGAAAAACCTTTCACATTTGCTTGGCCATGGTAGGAAAACCTTTTCCACATTGTCCTTCCTCTGCCCGCCATGGCATTTCCAGACTATCATAATGGAACTCTTCCACTATTTCCTTCGCGTTATTCATGCCTTTGGCTGGCTTCTAGGTGTTCTCATCTTTGGGACAACTTCGCTATTTAACAAAGTACAATAGTTCACGTACCTCCTAGTAGTGACCGCGTACTCTCTTCCGGTAAGAGAGTATTTCACTTCTTACAATTTTCTCTATTTTTTGTTGTAAGTTACCCTCACTATCCTTGGGTTCTCTGAGAGGTTATTGTTAGTCTGCACATACCGACTCCCTGTAAGGTTCTAACAGAGATATATAGAACACTGGGTATATGTTCTATCGATCTGAAATATTGAGTTTGCTGGTACGATTTTCTCGTTCTTCTAAGATCATGAATTGTTCTTATAATTTTGGATTGAGGTTTTTTGACTTCCGATGTGTACGAATGTTCTTTGCGTTTAACATTACTTTATCGCTGATATTGAAGTCAAGTTGTTGCTTGACTTTCCTGTCATAGTATTTGGCCATTGCCTCTCTTGTATCTGTTCGAGTGATTGTCTTGCTTGCTCGTGGATGGTCTTAATCCAGTTCAATTAAAGTGTAGCTCCCAGATTTTGTGCTGCTTGTTTCTTCATACATTTGGTTTCTGGATGAAATTGATAGTTTGAGAAGCAAGGACTCATTCCATTTACATTAGTTGCCAAGTTATTGTAGACATATTCAGCTAGAGGTAGTGTAACGTGTTCGCTAGGTACTAATCATGTTATCAGTAATGAATATGATAGTTGGCAGGTGGCCTGCTCTTCCGGAGAGGAGGCGAGAGCTGAGAACTAAAGGAGGCTTCGAGGGTGTACTGAGGAACAAAGAAGTAACTGTTCAACCAAGTATATTGAAATACTGTCTGTCGAAGTCTGCCTTTTCTATCGTAGAAACGGCGGTCTTTAAATACACAAATCTGTTCATGTCTAGCAAGAACGAAACTAATTAAAGGTATCAATCGATACACTTTGGTGAAACTAATTGAGTATCAAAGCGATACTTAAAACAAAACATAAAAACAAAATCAAGTATTAAACGATACTTAAAACAAACCAAGTATCAAAGCGATACTTAAAAGAAAGCATAAAACAAAACCAAGTATCAAATGATACTTAAAACAAACCAAGTATCAAATGATACTTAAAACAAACCAAGTATCAAAGTGATACTTAAAACAAAACATAAAACAAAACCAAGTATCAAACGATACTTAAAACAAACCAAGTATCAAAGCGATACTTAAAACAAAACATAAAACAAAACCAAGTATTAAATGATACTTAAAACAAACCAAGTATCAAAGCGATACTTAAAACAAAACATAAAACAAAACCAAGTATCAAATGATACTTAAAACAAACCAAGTATCAAAGGGATACTTAAAACAAAACATAAAACAAAACCAATAACCGAGTACCTGTACTGGTTACAGGTAGCAATTAGTACCACTTGTCCTGATTATAGTTGATGAAACTTAGTAAGTAACCTTCCAGCACTTGGTTGGTTCGCTCAGTTTGTCCATCCATTTGTGGGTAGTATTCTGTAGACCTCATTCTTATTATGTTTAACGTTTTACACTGGGATTCCCAAAATTCTCTAGTAAACTTCGAATTTATATCTGAGATAATT